AACTATATAGATATCATTTCAACGCCTAGTCTCACAGTTTGGAAGATGCTGTTTTTTTTTTTTTTTTTTTTTTAACTGAAGTCACTTTACTTTATAACATTATATGAGTTTCATTATAAACCAACACTTGTGTGCATCACATTAAGTTCACCACTGGGAAGACAGTATCTTTAACACTATAGGACGTTCTGTATCAGGTCAACAAATATAAATTGAATTTGAATATTGAGGAGCTAGTGCTGTTTTTTTTTTTTTTTTTTTTAAGGGTGGGTTTTAACACCTTCAAGAGTGTGAGAAAGGATTATAGATAAATCACCTCATAGTCTATATCCCCCCCGGGGCAGTAGCTTCTTAGTTTGATCAGCTTAATGATTCATTTATACTTGTAATGTTATTTTTCACTTGTATGCTTATGTGTGCTTAAAGTAAAGAGGACAAAAATAAGATTGAGGAAAAAAAAACACATTTTAATTGCTTTCAAATGTTCCAGTAAACTCAGAACCATACTCTCTTGCTCAAGAATTTCCTTGACAGATCATTACTTATTTGCTTGTAGATCTCTCTAACTTTCTCCTATTTTCTTAATCTTTGGAACTATAGAAGATATTAAGTGTTGTTGGCTGGTCAGGAAATGTAAACTTTTTAAGGGACATCTACATTCAAGTGTCATAGGAGAGAATAAAAAAGAAATCAGATCTCCACTCTTAAAAACAGTTAGAAGTTGCAGAGTCAGGAAACAGTAAGACAATCTTAAGCCTCCAAGAAGACAGAATACATGTGTATTTTCACATTCAAGTTTAAATAACCATTTTGTTATTTTCAACTGTAGTTCCTGCCAAGAACATCCCAATCAACGGCCAGTCTCTATGACTAAGGAAATACTTCAACTAATGATCTGCTGATAAGCAAGGAAATATCGGGCTGGCCAGGAGGTTTTGGGGGCCACTATCTAACAGACAGTGGCAGCAGCACACGCCCAGCTCGCTGATGAAGGAGCAGAGGTTTTGCAAATTACGCATTTGCTAAGGTGATTCCAGTCCACTGAACCACAATGTGGACACCATTCAGCCTGGATTCTAGGGGGGCCCCATACCATGCAAGATGGGCGAATGGTGGGTACCCTGTATCCTAGGACCTGGAGTTATGGATTATTATTCAAATTATTCATGTTACAAAATACTATAAAAAGGACTTATTATTCAAATGATTGTAAATGAATTATTTGAATGAATTATGACAGGCTAAAATGCCATTTTTTCTCTGATGGAGTGACGGAGTGTTTGGCTACAAACTGGAAACTACAAAAAGATCTTGGAAGAGAAACGAAAGGGGCAGTTGTTTAGCAACCCAGAGAAATGGAGGAAGGTGAGGAACTTTGGAGTGGACTCAAATCATGAGACCCAGATGCTGGCTTAGATAGGAACCCTACCCCCCAAGTATCAATAAGAGCAGTTTTATTTCAATCTGGATTTCTTTGCAGTTTGTGAAAACACTTGGCTTTCAACGTTCAGGATCAAGTCTTACAAAATGACTTTTATTTTTCAATTGAAAAACCACGGCAGTAACGCACCTTTCAGGTAAGCATCATCACTGACAATCAACCAGCGTGATGACTCCGTGAGGTTCCCCACACACACTTCACGGCCTCATTGTCCCCTTAGTCCTGATTCTCCCATGTTCTTCCCACTTCCCTGTTGGTGACCACTAATTGGTCTCAGAGTTGAAAAGTTTATTTTTGTTTTATTTAGTTCATTGGAAGGTGATACTTCTATAAACTTTATTTTCACGAAAAAGAATCTATGCCATCTTATGTCTCCATAAAGAAAATGTTGTCAGGTGGCCTCCCTGGTGGCGCAAGGGGTTAAGACGCAACCTATGAAGCTATCCGCAGCCTTTGCACCTCTAGTTCGATCCCTATCTGGAGAGGTGACCCACATGGCACGGCAGACCTCTCCTGTTTCATCCACTGCTCCCTTCAGCAGTGTATTTCAGTAGATCTGCCTGTTCTGCTCCCCACTCTGTCTCTGGTGAATCCTCTCACCCCCCCCCACCTCTGGCCTACACCCCAGTTCTTGTATGCATAAATAAATAAATCTTTTAAAAACATTTTTTTCATAGGGGCCCTTTTTGTGAACCCTCATTATGTCTGACGATACAAAGAGAGAAACTGAGTCAGGGATAGAGGCAAACCGTGGCTCTTCTATAAGCAAAGAACACCAAAAGCCCACAGTCTGTCTAATTTAAGCCAGTGCCCTTGGCTCTGGATTCCGCTAGAAAGTTATTTAAAGTAAGTGGATTTAAAAAAAATCTATTTTTCGTTACAATGACCATAGTGTTAGAAATAACTTAGTACTCACTGGGGTCAGAAGGAGAGGCTTTCATCCCTGCGAGAGCCTGTGGAGGGTTTGTACCCCATTAAGCAGCCTCCCATGTCCTCGAATGCCAGAGGAGGATGTCTTCAGAACAAATAAAACTCCCAAGCAGAGCTTCTTGGCTCCTGTAGGCCCTGGAGAAGGCGGGTTTGCAAATATTTGCCTTTATCTTGGGGTTCAGGACTGGGTACTTTCTTGTCTATCCTCTTATTGCCAGCTAAGGTATTTAGTTAAGAGCCAAATCTAAACCTATCAAACAGGCCATCAAAGTAGAGAATTCCTTGAAAAGGCATAGTTGGAGGAAGAGGGGGCTACAGAGGAAAATGGGATCCGCCCGGTAAACAGATTTAGGGTCTCCAAGGGCAGAAGGAATGTTTTCCAAATAGTTTTAAGTGTCTGTCAACTCTGCCAATCACCTGCTTAGGGTTATTTTACATTTCTTTAAAACCTCTGAAGTTCAAAGTAAATAATTGTTACAAGGGTTAATAAATCCAATATTTACTGGGAGAATGTTGCCTGAGAATTTGATGTTTTAATTAAGGTTGCAACGAGCTGCCCCTGCCTTTTCAGAGATGATCAAATACATCACTTTGGAAAACCGTGTAATCTTGTCTGGAAATAAATCTTCCCTCCTGCTCTCGCATCCTGCAAGAGTCGTGCCAGAGAACTTTAACACAAATCAGAAACTTGATTGAAATCACTGGTACCAAAAAAGGAACTTCTGGCCAGTACTTTGGACCTATGACTGCTACCAACCCGGCGAGTGGCATTTTCAATCAGTGAGTGTGTTCGTCTATTGTTTCCCAACGGAGAGGTCCAGGAAGACGGAAACAGAGAAAGATTCACAAATGTAAATGGATCCCTTCAATGTGCAAAAATTAGAGTAGAAGAACAGAATACAGTAGACAGACTAGAGTCTGGTGGGATAAAACAGAAGAAAACAAAGTCAATTGCTGAAGTCGATGAACTCACACCAAGTCCCAGAGCTTATGGAATTCCTCTCCATAAACTTTTTTTGGGGCTCTTGAGCCAACTGAGTAGCTAGCTGGATGAAATGGGAAACTCCGCTGCAGGAAGTGGTGCTTTTCTGATGCAGCTAATTAAGGAATGTGGAACCCTGCCTCCTGAGTCAGCCTGGCGGTATGTGGAACTCCGTGCTGCTTGCTGCTTACATGATTATTGCATGAAACTTGAGAAATAAAACCAGTGTATCTTGCCACTTAACATTTAAGAGGCAAGAGGTGGTGTGTGTGCTTGTGTGTATTTAAATGGTTCCTAATCTTTAAAATGGCTCATTGCAGCTGGCCTTTTTATCAGCTGGTCATATTTACAGCACAGTCTCAGATGCCACTGTGTTTTCCCAAAGAGAGGATTTGGGCCATTTAGGAGCTCACATTTTAAGGTACACAGGCTTATCATAGCATTCTGTGCATTCCCTGGTATTACACAGCAATAAAAACATCTCTGTGGGCCTGTCAAATCTTATATTTATTTCATTTCAGTAAAAGAAATGTCAATATTTTTTCAAAGCCAATAGAGGTGTATTGGAGAAAATAATGCAAGAAAAATATGCAGATGCCGGTCTCCAAAAACAATGATTCACAATTTTAATAAAAGTTCTGATCTGGATGGTGATGCAAATGTACAGAGAATAGTAAAATGAGCCTCGTTACTCAACACCCATACACCCAGTTCTGCAGTTTCAAGATGTTAACCCCATTTGCTTCAATTCTCCTTTTTTATTTTTCAATTTGTCAAAGGAGCATCAATTCCAATACCCCAGTAGATGTCACTAAAAAAAAAAAAAAAAAAAAAAAAGGACATACATTTCCCCCCCTAATAACCATTAATGCCATTATGACAACTAATGAATTAACAAGTTGTTGGTATCAAGTAACACCTAGTCCTTACCAACATTTCCCTGATAAGTAAATCAATGTTAATCTTTTTATGTAAACGGATAGCTTTCCTTTATGCTTACCCAAAGATTTATACTTTTTAAAACCACAATGGTCATTTGGATTTTTCCCTCTGCTAGCACAACTAACTCTTCCCCAATGCATATTTTTTTTTAACCTTCCTAAACCCATCAATCAGTTTTTATTTTTATTTTTTTTTATTTTCTGTATGTCTTACATCCTTTTCCATTTTTGCACAATGCATGCATTTTCATCTTGGTTCCATGCCCCACACCCCATGCCTATTTTTCAAAACTTTCTAATTTAAAATGGCTGCCTCCAGGGTGGGGGTAGAACTTGGGTGATTAACCAACCATTCCTCCATTGGTGTGTTTTCACATACATGGGTTGGGGGTGGGGAGGGGATTTGGGGAGGGGAGAGAGAGAGAGACAGAGACAGAGAGACAAAGACAGAGACATTTTCTTTCCCTTAGAGTAAATCTTGTCGCTCTGAGTATCTTCGCTCCTATCACCTCCCCCTGGGTGAGGGCTGTTTCCTTAGGATCCACTCCAGCAGGGTGATTGCAGCGCACGAATGTAGAAACATTTGTAAGGCCCTTGACTTGCCTCACCGAGTTGTTTACAAAAGGACTGTACCAATTTACACTTCCACTTCCAAAGGATGAGAGCGCCTCTATTAAAATGTTTCAAGGCAGGGCTGTTCCGAGCTCTTACAAATCATTGGCTCAGGCTGACGGATGCTTGTCCTGGTCATCCCCAGACAAATAAATAAATACACATTTTCTATAGCGATCAAGACCTGGCATGCGCAGACTGCCAAGCCACCACCAACTAACTTTGATTAAACGAGGAAACCGGTCTACTTGTTGAAAATGTGGTAATCAGAGAGTTTCCACCCAGCCGGGAAGCCCAGTCCTGAGGGGGAGGGGAGCCTCCCTTGCAGCCGGCCTCGCTCCCCATCCTGAAGAAAGTGAGAATGCACAGGTCAGCCTTGTCTTCTTTTACTTTACCATTTTTTTTCCAAGCTGAGGATTTTATTTGTTTCCATCGGGCCGAGCTGAGGATGCAAAAAAATACGGTTGAGAAGGAGCAGCAAACTTCTGGTGGAGGCGTTTCCTGTGCAGGCAGCCCCACCGCCCTGGGCAGCAGGATTAAGGCAGAGCCATTTTAGCTTCCAGACCAAATTCTACTTTGTCTCCTTGGGGACACGCTGTGCTGGTGTGTGGACTCCCCATCAGCTGCTTCGGAAACTGTGTCTGCTCCGAGCTCTCTTAGGATTTTCCCGAAAGAATCCAGCCTGTCGGGGACGGCTCCTTGCTGGAGATGCAATTGTATGGGTTTGGAGGAATTTGTGTGACAGATTTTTTTTTTTTTTTAAATTTTTGGTTTTTGGTTATTTTGAGGCTGAAAGAGAAACGATCTGACGACTCTCGTGTTTCTGGGGGAGGCAGAGAAAAATAAAGGAACGCGATAAGAAAATACTTAGCCAGGAGATCCCTGAAAAACCCCAGCCTCTGAATTTTTAATTTTTTTTTCTTGGGGGGTGGGGTGGGGTGGGGGGGGGGGGATGGGGTGGGGGGGCTGGAGGAAGGTTCTAGGCTCCTCATTTCACGGTGTTCGTCCCACTCCCAGGGCGAAGTCTTTCCTCAAAGCAAGTGGGAACAAAACATCATCTCTTAAAATATTTGCAGGAGGACATGCGGGCTGGGGCTTTGTAAAAAATGTCAACAAAATGTGCTCACCACATTTTTTTTTTTTTTTTTAAGTTGTCAGAGAGGCCAAAGGGGCGAGTTGGGGTGCAGGGCTGCTCGGGAGCGGGGGGTTGGGCTGGGGGAGAAGAGTCTCGGGTCCCCGCGGCTGACGTTTCCTGGGGGTGGCGGCCATGCCGCGCGCCCGGGGTGTCTGGGTGCCAGGAGCGCGCGCGGGGGGCCCCCCCTGGGGAGCCTGGCGCCTCGGGGCGCGCGATGCTCCCCACTTTCCAGGTGAGGAGGTCGCCGCGAGGTCTGCCTGACTCCAGGTCGGGTCGGGTCTGGACCCAGCCGGGCACGGTTCGCTCGGTTCCGGCGGCTGGAAACCCTCCTGGAAGCGGGGGTGCGGCTGAGCTCCCCGGGGGCGAGCGGAGCGCTGGAGAGGGGGGGGCCTCTGATGACCCAAACCCTGGGACTCTGGGGCAGCTGCCTGATCGCTGATTGAGCAGATTTGGAGTGTGTGTTTCTGGTTATTCTGCCGGGGCGTGGCTCCACACTTAATCTCCTCTCCAGCATTTTCTCCAAATCCCTGTAAATGCTGGAGGGCAGGGTTTGCGAGGACACACCTTCAGTCTGCAGAGAGGGGCCCCTCAGCCCACTTGCCGGCCGCCTGTCTTACCTGTGCCTCTCCCTCACCGTCTCCCAGGCCGCCCTCGACCTCCAGCCTGAAGATGCCCGAGGAGCCCTGAAAGGCAGGCCGCCTCCAGCGTCTCCCAGACCAAGGTATCTCTCTAAGGAATTCCACTGGCTTTGTCTACCTGAGCGCCAGGTTCAGAGGCGGATGAGTTTGGTCCCCATCGGACTGGGCCTGCCCCCTCCCCTGCCAGAAACACACTTGCTTCTCTTTTTTTTTAACCTGTGAGCAGGGACCCTGGCAGGGTCCCCTGGGGTGAAGGATGCCCCTGGTTTTGACCCTGCTGCGCTGCATGGCCAGGGTACCAGTCTTGACAGGAACAGGCCCATGATGGACCTGAGCCTCTGGCACAGGAGAGTTGGCTCAGTAGTTTGTTTTTTATTTTCCCTTATTTCTCCTTGCTGTTAATATTGGCCTCTTGTCTTAATTGAGTGCTTACTACGTGCCCAATTCTCTCCAGAGTATTTTACCAGTGAGGACTTGCTTATTTCTCTCCAGTATCCTTATTGGTGAATATTCTTACCTCCATGTGTAAAATGGGGAGACACAAGCGGAGAGGGCTCCCCCCCCCCCCCCCCCCCCCCCCCGTGCAACAAGTGGTTATCCCAGAGGCTTGTTTGGAACCCAGAAAGCCAGTTTCAAGAGCTCAGCCCCTTACCCACAGGAAGGGCAGCTTTCCATTGGGTGACGCAGGTACTGACTGGTATCCAGAAAGGGTGTATGTAATATGCTGGGCCTATTATAAGTACCTAATCAATGATCACTATTGTTAGTATTATTCTGTATTTTCCTGAGGCCCAGGTCACCTACATGGCACAAAAAAGAATGGCATGAGTCAGCATGGGCTTTGGAATTAGATGGGGCTAGAATTCCATTTTATTCACATCGTAGGACCAAAAGTAAGTTAGAGAAGTTAATTAGTCACAGTGAGTGAGCCTCTGCCCGCTGCAGTTCCCACGTCTGCGGAATGAATTCAGATGTGCAGGTTAGCAGGCGTATCCTGCCGTGATTGGATCAATCAGATGTGGAGCTAAGACGCTGGCATTTAGGAGGCTCCAATTGTTTTTTTTTTTTCCATATCCCGTTTATTACTGTTTTTTTTAATTTTTTTTTAAGATTTATTTATTTATGCATACAAGAGCAGGGGTACAGGCCAGAGATGCGGGGCGGGGCGTGAGAGGACTCACCAGAGACAGAGTGGGGAACAGAACAGGCAGACTGACCAAAGTACACTGCTGAAGGGAGCAGCAGGCGAGTCAGGCGAGGTCTGCTGCGCCATGTGGGTAGCTCCCTGGCTGGCCAGGGAGGCTGCAGATTGCTTCATAGTGCGATGCTTAACCCCTTGCGCCGCCAGGGAGGCCCTGTTACTGTTGTTGTTGTAAAAGTAACCCAAAGATAACAGGACATGCTTAAATATTCTTAAATATCGGAGTGATGGGGAAAGGAGTCTGTTACTGTTTCAAGAATGCTCTTGGTTTTATGTCTGTTTAATAAGCCTCTTGGTACCTGAACCAGGTCATTATCCCTCTGCTCCTGCCACTTAGTGGTTCCGCTTCTTTCAGAGTAAAATTCAATCTTTATAATGCCCAAAAGGCCCGAAGCCATCAACATGGCCTCCCCAGTCCTCGTTTTCAGACTTGTTTTCTCTTCTTACTCCCTGCCAGCCACAGAGCCGTGCTGACCTCTTGCTGCCCCTTGAATCACTAGGCACAATGCTTCAGGTCTTCAAATACCAGTCGCTTAGCTGGGAATGCCCTTTCCCCAGAACTCCACATGGCTCCCACTGTCACCAGCCACTTGGCTCCATCTGTGAAGTCTTCCTGAACCATCCTGTTGTAGAGCAACCCCGATACAAAACGGGGTGCCTGACTGTGGGTCCTCACCCGCGCGCTTAAAAGGACTTATCAATGCTCTCCTGCAGGCACACGCGAAAGGTTCATAAAAGGTTTATTTACAAGGGGAGGGGAAATGAGGAAAAGTACAGTTCAGGGAGAAAAGTTGGAGACAAAGTTTTAAATGACTCCTACCCGATCCGTCGATCAGGAATCTCAAAATGGCACTCTGAGAGCTGGCCGCGAGCCAGGAGCGTGAAGCCAGGAGGCGAGCGATAGAGAGCCCCCCAAGGCCCACATGTTTGGTTTTTATATTCAACCTGGCTGCCCAACTCCATCCTCAGGTCCCAGCCACCCTCTCTTTGGTGGTGATGGGATTTGTCATTTCCAGTATCTTGATGGCTTTAGCCTGGAGTGGGGGTGGGGTCCACAAAGCCTGTATGGGATTAGCTCAAGACATCAATTCCCCCTAACAATCCTACTTAACATCAACCCCATTTACCCTCCCCGCTTCCTGCCCCTATGCCTCCCCTTATTTTTCTCCATAGCTTCCATCATTCATACAATATCGTGTTGAATTACCTCTAGGAGGGCAGGCAGTTTGATCAGTTTGCTTTCCTGCAGTGTTCCCAGTAGGTGCCTAATACAGATTTTTTCTTTAGATTTATTTTTATTTATTATTTTTTAAATATTTATTTTATTTATTTATGCATACAAGAGCTGGGGTGTGGGGCCTCCCCGGTGGCGCAGCCATTGAGCGCTGGGGTGGATCTCCGGCTGCCGGCGAGGGTCCCACATGGCCTGCAGACCTCTCCTGCCGCGCCCGCTGCTCCCCTCAGTAGTGTATTTCCTCAGTCTGTCTGTTCTGCTCCCTGCTCTGGCTCTGGTGAATCCTCTCACCCTCCCGCGCTTCTGACTGTACCCAGTGCTTGTATAAATAAATAAATCTTTTTTTTTTAAAAAAAGAGCTGGGGTGTAAGCCAGATGTTCAGGGGGTGAGAGGAGTCACCAGAGACGGGGGGGAAACAGAACAGGCAGATTGACTGAAATACACTGCTGAGAGGAGCAGCGGGCGAGGCAGGAGAGGTCTGCTGAGCCATGTGAGTAGCTCCCTGGCCGGGGATCGAACTTATGCTGCAGAGGCTGCGGACAGCTTCATAGTGCTGCATCTTAACTCCTTGAGCAACCAGGGAGGCCCCTGATCAATTTTTAATTATACACGTAACTTATGAATGTACTTTACATATAAAAAGATCAAAATACTGAGCCATTCCAGACTCCTGGATTCTTGCCCACATTTGAGAATTAGCCACTTTTGGTATAAAGTTGCATAAAATACAAGTTTTATTCAGGTATTTTCATCTTGCTGTTTTTCCCGAGCTTTAATAGGCCTATAACATTAGTTTGAGGGGTGCCACATAATGTATTTGTATACATTGTAAAACCATCAGCTTATATACCTTAGGAACTGTGTGTACAGTTACACATATACACGTATGTTCAGCCTAAATAATATACATACAGATATACACATGTAATACACATATGTGTATATTTTCTTTAGAAAACATTCTTGTGTATATATTTTTTTAAAGATTTATTTATGCATACAAAAACTGGGGTATAGGCCAGAGGTGCGGGGGTGAGAGGATTCACCAGAGACAGAGCGGGGAACAGAACAGGCAGACTGACTGAAATACACTGCTGAGGGGAGCAGTGGGCGAGCCGGGAGAGGTCTGCTGCGCCATGTGGTTTCTCCCTGGCTGGGATTGCTTGATAGTGCGATGCTTAACCCATTGCGCCACCAGGGAGGCTATGTTTCGTTTTTTTCCATGACTGTAAGTGATGCTGCAGTGACCATCCTCTCTGGTGCTGTCTCTGCAGGCCAGGTGCTGTGGTTATATGCTTTCTGTTGACGTCTTCATTTGTTTATTGCCTGTTTCTCCTATTGAAAGGGAAGCTCCTCGAGGGCAGGGACCTAGGGTTTTGTACTTCGCTCTTTAATTACTACCCATGGGACAGAGCAGGAGTGGTTAGTGGATATTATGGGTGAATCCATAAATATCTGAGGCCATGGTGTGGCTTTGCATCCTAAGAGGGGAACTGTGACTTACTTTGGTAAAATTGGAGATTTTTGCAGAGGGTAGGAGCAGGATGGTTATTAGTGGTGTGTAGGGAAGACACAGCGAGCCCCAATTTGTAAAGTTCAAGTGTTGTCACTTTGCTTTCATAAAAGTCTTCTACATCAGAACCTGTTCCCGCTAACTGGAAGAAATCTGAAGGGGAGTTTCGCTTTTTGTGGCAAAAGGCAAAAAAACCATAGCAGCAGTGTTGGTTTTGAAGCTGTTCTGGAGGCAGCGCAGCCCTAAGCCAGAGTGAGCCCACTGAGTCCCTTCCTGGGAAGCTTTATTTATTTATTTATTTATTTGTTTATTTATTTATTATTATTTTTATTTTAAAGATTTATTTTATTTATGCATCCAAGAACTGGGGTCCGGGCCAGAGGTGTGGGGGGTGAGATGATTCACCAGAGACAGAGCGGGGAACAGAACAGGCAGATGTACTGAAATACAAGGGGAGCAGCAGGTGAGACAGGAGAGGTCTGCTGCGCCATGTGGGTAGCTCCCTGGCCGGGGATGGAACTCGTGCTGCAGTGGCTGCCAATAGCTTGATAGTGCTGAGACCTAACGCCTTGCACCACTAGGGAGGGCCTGGGAAGCTGCTTTTACACAGCTGTGGATTTATGATGGCATTTCTGCTTTGACTCTACGTTAGTATTTTGCTGGAGGGGTTTATGTGTCATTTGCTCTGATTTGGTAGGTTACTTTTTAGGGTGTGAGAATACTCAAGAATTTTTCCATATAAATGAGTGAGTGGTACTTAGGTTTTCGCTTTACAGCATCTTGGCTTCGGGAAGGTTTCACTAGGCACAGTGTCTATTTTTGGACAGCGGGAAAACCTGTATTGGGATGGGATCTGTGAGATTTACTCACAGATTAGCTCTGAGGAGCAAGGGAAAGAAGGGCAGGGAAAATAAGGGACCAGGAAAAAGAATAACTATAAGAAAGAAAATATCAAAATCGACAAACAACTGTGAACCAGAGACACTCTATGGGGGGTGGGGGGCGGGGAAAGGAGGGCTTGGGGTCAAAATAAGGGGGCTGTAATTGTATGGGGAATATAAAAATAAAATTTAAATTAAAAAAAAAAAACTATTTCAAAATGAAAAAAAAAAAAAATAAAAAGAAGGGCTGGGAAGACTGATCCCTAGTGTGGGACATTTCGGTTTTACAAACATTTATTGCCTCCCAGCTCTGGGCAGAAAGCATCCTGCTAATTGCTGCCGGGACATAAATTTGCAAGCCCTTTCCTCCCTGTGTCCAAACGAGACTGCAGCCTGTTGGGAACACAGACCGTGTACACTGGCACGCCAAGAAGGCAAGGAGGGGACTGAGGTGGGAGGAGACCAGCCTGGGGGCAACCAGGTGAAATAAAGCTGCTGCTGACTAGGGGGCAGGGGACGGTTGGGTGAAGATGATTCAACCAGAGCCACAGTAGCCGACTGGTGACCCTTCAGGAAACAGGGCATCTAGTCCCTTGTGAGGGAACTTAGGTTGGTGTCGGGGGGTTTGACCTTGGGTCCCGCTGGCGCAGTGCCTGGAGTGTACCTGGAAAGTAGGGAGCCCGACTGTTAGCCTGTGACCTGAGGCAGGTTAGTTACTTCACCATCCCAAGCCTCAGTTTTCTTTTTTTAAAGCCAAGGCAGTAATAAGCTTAGAGCAAAAAGCCCCAGCAGCTTCTTCCAATTTTACCTTGTATTTATCTGACCAGGATGAGATCTTTTAGGAGATAATTTCTCTCTGTCTCTGAAGAAACACTTTGACGTTCAGTACTTCTTTCAGTTTTACTTACATTTCCTTCCAGTGGCTTCCTAGTACCCTAGGAATAAAACGCAGTGTCCTCCAAGGGCCCCCTCAAAGGACCCATCAGATCCCGCCAGCCTTGGTATGAGGAATGTTTTTATTCTGAGAGACACTGGGAGTTTTAGGCAGGGCCCGATGCAATCAGACTTGACTGGAAAAAAGATCAGTGTGGTGGAGGTGGGCCTGTCCGCGTGTCTGCTGGGATGGCCTCTTTGTAAACACGGAATTCACTTCCTTACAGTGTCCCGTACAAGTGGGAGCACGCGTGGCACAGAACACAGTAGGTGTGTATTCTGCTTGCTGAATGCACATTTCATCCCTGCGTTTCAAGGAAGGCTAGGAATAGCCGCTTCATTGTCACAGGGGAATGTGATGAGACAATGGATGTCAGGTGCCTGGCACATAGAATTCATGTTCTGATGCTATGTTCAGTATTTAATGAGCATTTACTATGTGCTCTATAGTCCTGGTGTGGGGGTGGGGGGCTTGACCCGGTTCCTGCATAGGAAAAGGCCCTGACCTGGAGGTCAGTGAGTAGTGAGGGGGCTGGGGGAGGGGCAGGCCAGTTTGAGGTAGGCTGTGTGTCATATGGCTGAGCACAGGTTGGAGAGTCATGGGCGCCCAGCACTGTTGCTTCCTACCGGTAGTTTTTTTTTTTTTTTTTTTAAAGATTTATTTATTTATGTATACAACTGCTGTGGAGTTGAGCATCTGGTGGGAGGACAGGCAGCAACAAACGATTCCTCCAGCTGGGGTACAGGCCAGAGGTGGGGGGTAAGAGGGTTCAGCAGAGACAGGGTGGAGAGCAGAACAGGCAGATATACTGAGATGCACTGCTGAGGGGAGCAGTGGGCAAGACAGGAGAGGTCTGCTGCACCATGTGGGTAGCTCCCTGGCCTGGGATCGAACTCCTGCTCTCAGTAAGTATAGTGCTGATCAGCGGCCTATTACACACTGGCCGCCTGTCTTTGGCATGGAATTGTTCTGAGCTGTCAATGCCTAGTCCTCCCAGCCCATCCCAAGGCAGAGAAATGCCAGAGGGATTCCTGTCAGGTGTGTTTGGACAATCTCTCCCCGCCCCCAAACTCTTGATGGAGTAAACAGTCTCATTCAGATCAAAATTCTTTCACTGACCAGCTCTAAAACGACTCACTTGAGTTTGCAGCCAATAGGGAGAGACAGAAGAAGGTTCTTTCTAGCAAAGCGGCGAAGCTGTCAGGTTTAGAACAAAGTTCAGTGTCACCGGGGCTGCGACTGGAGACCTCGGCTATCCCAGGGCGAGCCCAGCACAAGAGCGTAGCCCTCCGCGGAGCTCATACTCAGTCTGCACAAGACTCATTGTAAAGCTACCCTCCGCTTCCCCTGTGTGAAGGCAAGGAGCCGCCCAGCCATCCAAGGGGGCAGGTCAGGTCAAGGGTGTAGGCGAGGAACCGAGCCAAGACCCCAGGGCTGGCCCGAAGACCCACATTACAGTTCCCTTCCCACTGGAACTCCCTGCAGCTGAGTTCTATGGATTGTGGTTCACTTCCAAGTTTCACTAGTTTTGAACACATTTACTGACCACTGCCCCGGGCAGACATCAGGCCAAGACCTGGAGACGCAGTAGAGGCCAAGACCAGGCAGCATCTGCTGCTGTGGAGTTGAGCATCTGGTGGGAGGACAGGCAGCAACAAACGATTCCTCCAGCATGCAGGAGTGTCACTGTGTGGTTTGAGCTCTGGGGTACCAGGCAGGGATGCATGATCTGTGGGTGGCTGACCCCTCTCTCTAGCCACTCCTAGGAGTTATCCCTGTGTGGTATGGGGGATGGTGGAGGGAGAGTTTCTGAGAGTGAATCGCGCCTCTGTGACCGCACATATGTAATGGGGATGGAGAAGGAAGTTGGAACAGGCTTTTGGAGTCGAGGGGAGAGGCCTGGGCTGGCGACATGTAACAGCAGGAGTCTTCAACGTACAGGTGGTGTTTTGAGCCATTCGTTGGGAATGAGTAAGGCGCAGGAGACCGGGCACCAGCACTGGGCCCTGTGGTCGCTTCTAAGTCCGGAGGGACCCAGACTCAGGGAGCAACCAGGGGGTTCTGAGGGGGAATCAGGAGCAGGTGGTGTCCCCAATCTAGGGGAGAAGTGACTTAAGGAAGAGGAAGGGAGGTATGGCAAATAAACTATGGAGCAAGGATGGCCCAGCTGACACCTTGCAGGCAACAGGAGTCAAAAACCAGCCCTTGCCTCTCTTTGCAGAGTTCTGCCTTATTTCCCGGGCCCAGACCTCCTGCCCCGCCGCTGGGCTTCCCCCCCCCACCCCCCCACCTTCTTACCTGTGCTCCCCTTACAGGACTAGCCGCCTGACCTCTCCCCACTCTTTAGGGAGCCCCTGATCTAGAGCCGCAGGCATCTCCCGCTCCTCAGGGACCTGCGTGGTGACCCTCTAAGCCGAGACCTTCTCTCTAGAGTCTTCAGACCCAAGGTTCCTTTAGCAGAGGTCTCCCTTCCCATTCTTGCAGGGTATCAGCTTCTGCTCCTCCCGAGAGTGGCTTAGACCAGGGGTGGTCTGCTAAGTCCCCAAGGGGGTGAGGACTTCTTCCCATTTGCTTACTATAAGTTCCATAACCCAAGTCTAGAACTTTCCAGGCCCCTCGGAACTTGGCCTACAGGCTCTGGCAAGTGTGTCTCTGACGTCTCCCAAGAGTCTTACATAAACATAAATATCTATTATTTATCTAGGCAATATCATCGTGAGAGTTTTCCATCTCTTCTCCTCCTTCCCAGTTTTATTGCGATATGTCACATAATATTGTACGATGATTGGATATATAAACAATTCCCACAATGAGTTTAGGTAACGTGTCACCTCCCATGGCTAATTTCTCCCCTTGCCATGAGAACATTTAAGAGGAGGACCTTCTTCGCCTCCTCCACTCCTCCTCCTTATCCCATTTCATGAAAGAGGAACTGAAACCCAGAGAGATTTAACAGCATTCCAGGGGTAATGCAGCTCTCAAGAGGTGGGACCTTGAGGGCCTCCCCTGCTGTTGAGCACTGGGTTGCGAAGGCCTCTGCAGCGCAGGTTCTATCCCTGGCTGCTCCCCGGCCACCAGACCTCTCCTGCCGCCCGCTGCTCCCCTCAGCAATGTACTTCGGTCCTTCTGCCTGCTCTGCTCCCCGCTCTGGCTCTGGGGAATTCTCTCACCCTCCCACGCTTCTGACTACCCAGTGCTTGTATAAATAAGTAAATAAATAAATAAATAAATAAACAAACAAATAAATAAATCTTAAAAAAAAAAAGAGGTGGGACCTTGAGCCCAAGCCACTGGAGCCCCAACATTTGCCACCTAATCAGAGGCCACCCCAGAACCCAGTTTTCAGCCCCTCCCCCTAGAGGAACTAAAGCAGATATCCTGGGAGAATGGGAGGGCCATGCCCAGGGACCCTGAGGGGCCGGTCAGAGCGGCCCTAGTGCCTCCTCTCGGAACCTCCAGGAAGGGCTGGCCCAGATGAGCTGGGAGAGCGAGGCTGACAGGGCTGGCGAGGCAGGACTGGAGTTTGTTCTTTCACCTGGGGCGATAGGAAGCCATTAAGTAGGGTGGTGACATGATCTGATTTACACTGTAAAAGATCTCTTGGGCTACGGGTAGAGGAATGGAATGGGGGAGACCTAGAAAGGAGAACTGAATAGCCCGTGCCTTTGGAGGAGAGAGTGAGAGGCCTGGGTGTGGGGGAGACAAGTAGGACATATTATATGCCTGGCTGATGGATTAGAGGTGAGTGTGTGTGTGTGTGTGTATGTGTGTGTGTGTGTGTGTGTTAGGGGGCTGGGGAAAGGTGGGAGATAAAACATAGTTTGACTTGTAAGTTTCGGGAGATGGTTTTGTTTATTGAGATGATGATGGGCATCGATATTCAATCAATGTTAATTGCCTTCCTCCACCCTCATCTCCCTTCTCCCGCTGCCCCTTGTGTGGCGTACCAGATGAGCGCAAAGAGCGTGGAGGGCCCAGAAAGTGATGTGACACTGAGGGCACCATTTCCATTCTGAGAGGCGGCAACCTTGAAAAACCCTCCGGGATATTCGGGGAGGGTACTCGCCCCAAAGTAAGCTGGGTGAAAAAGTCTGGCCGCAAAGTGGGGAGAGTTCTCTTCCAACTTGCCAGCGGGATGTCTAGAATAACGTGCCTGGCTCTTTATCAAGATGGATTCATTCAATCCAGGGAGGCTGGTATCTAAACCTCTATTTAAACTGAACCTTATTCTTGGCCCCTCCCTTTTTGTTTTGCTTGTAAAAAACCAGCAATCACCTCTGTTCCAGGCTTGCTCGAGCCAGGTGGACCGGCAAACTCTGGGAGAGGGACTCTCCAGGCTCCAGACACTGTGCCTCCACTTCCAGAGGTAATTGCTGCTGTTTATTTTCATCCTATATTATGATGATGTTTTATAGAGGATTTAAAATGGTGAGAGGCTGGAGTGGATGGAGAAACTTAATAGAAAAGAGAGCGGCGGTGTTGCCTGGAGGGGCTGGTGATCCGACTTCATTTCGAGCATTCAGTCGTGTTAAAAGGGCTGCCCCGGTTTCCTTCTCAAATGTCCTTTGTAGTTTGCAAAAGCTGGCAGGTTCGCCTAACTTTTTCATTTTCTTTTCCTGCTAACTCCTCGCTGCAGTTTTTCAGGTTTTCCTGCTCTGAACACTGAATTCTTTTAAGTCGGAGTATCTATGTTGGCTTCATGTCAGCTCCAGGGATTTACATACAGTGTCCAGATTGTTTTTCTGTCATAGTTCCACGGTAAAAATGAACTTGCAACGTACGATCAGGCTGCTTTCTGTTCTTGTAATGAAGGGAAAAAAAATCAAACGATGATCCCAAGACCTGTTAAAATATAGCGAACGGGAAGGGGGTTTTGTTTGTTTTGTTATTAGATCTGAGAAGCCTGTGGAAGGCAAGGATCTGGAGAGAAAATCAGAAGTTAGCTAAACGGAGAGGTCTGCTATCACGAGGATTAAATCAGAGATAATGGTGCTATTTTATAAGCGCACACTGGGAAATCTGTCTTAAGGAGGGCTGGTCTGTTTGGATAATGGTGAAAAATGAGGTGTAGCTGATGTTTGTCGCTTTACAAAGAGGTGAGGTGGGCTCCCCCCCCCCCCTTTTCCCTGATAACATGTGCAGGGCATCAGCTCGAATTTGAAGAGACGACTCTGGGTCCATTCTTTGTTTGTGTTGCCTGCCTCTCCCCAGCACCTGACTCCTTTAAAGAGAAGCTAGCTGGGGGGTGATGGCCAAGCCGGATTACCCGTCGGTGGGTGGAGCTAAATCTGTGTCGACCCACAGTTCTATTTTCAATTTTCATTTTCTTACGGGAACGATACGAATGCTTGGCTTTTACTAGAAAATCAAATGTTCCTGGTGTGTGCTCCTGCTACTTTGGTTGGAGTTTCCATTTTTAAGGGTTTGAACTGCACATGCTTTCCAGAGCATTCCTAAAATGAGAGTCTCCATCTTCATGGGGGAGAAGGCCCTTATAACGAATTCAGATCACTCTATGTCCTCTTTTAAAAAACACGTATGTGTTTGCAACCCAGCACTTGGGCACTGGCAGAATTTTGCAACCATTTCCCAGCTTTGCTGGCAAGGCTCCAGGAATCAGGTTCTTTGTAATTCTTTGCTCAAACACAAGGATCACATATAAAACTCTTAGCAGATAGATCAGTTAATACAATTCCCTTTCCAATTTTTAAAAGCTACAACATAATAAGGTTTTGGGGGTGGGGCGGGGGTGGGGGGAGAGAAGACAGGACAGTAACTAACCATAGGATGCTGTTATTACACTAACAAAGTGGTGGCTCTGTCAGGGCCCAGAGGTGGGGGGGGGAAGCACAATCGTTGTGTTTTTGTTTTTGTTGTTTTTTTTTTTGCTCAGAAAATAATTCATTAGCAACAAGGTCTGGGGCCTGGGGCCTCATTGTTCCTGGTGAAACCATTATTTGTCAAAACACTTGATTGTTTCCCTAACTCTGCCTGGAAAGTTTGGACGCTCCGCTCCTTTCTGACACTGGGATTTTTAACTCTGGCGCTATTGTGTGTACGGCACGCAGGGCCTCGGGTTCAGAGGTTATCCATTAACATGTCGAGGGAGGCTTCCCCCCAGGAGGCTCGACCCGGCCCGGCCGGCTGCAGCTTTGTGTGGTCGGGGCCAGAGTCGTTCGTCCCCCGGGGTGAGGCGCGGCTCCTGCTCGCGGGGAGGCCGGGCCGGGCCGGGCACGGGACGTGGCTCCGGGGAGCCCTCGCAGGAGTCGCGGGAAGGGATTTATTTTCCCCGAGAAAAGTTGCCCAGAGCCGGCGGGGACGGACCCGTGTGCCTGAGGGGGACCCAAAGTTGGGGCCTCAGCCCCGCTCGGGCACCGCGCCCCCGGGCGGGCGCGCGCCCCACTTCCTCTCGGGGGCGCCGGCCAGGAGGGGGGCCGCCGTGGGAAGTGACAGGCGAGCCCCGGCGGCCCGCGCGCCCCTGCGGGGAGCCGCCTCTCCAGCCCGCTCCCGGGGCGCCCCGCGCGGGTGCCCTGGGCCCCGCTGCTCCGCGCGCGAACTGCCTCCACGGGGGCCGCGCCGGGGCCGGGGCCGGGGAGGCCACTCGGGGCCCGGGGCCCCCGCAGGCCCGTCGCCTGCTCTCGGGGCGCCGCGCGGCTTCCTCCTCGGGGCGCCCCAAACAGGGGGTCGGCCCGGGCCCGCCTTTCCGGGTGCGGAGCGCGGCGAGGGGCGCGGGCTGGGGGCCGCCCCGCTGGCCCCGGCCCGCGCGCGGGTCCCCACCGCGCCGCGGGGTCCCCGGAGCCGAGCGGGGCCCCCCAGAACAATCAGAGGCGCTCACGGAGACGCCCGTGAGGAAGGACCTCGGCGCGCGCCGCGCCCCGACCCCGCGCGCCCGCGGACACGCGCCCCCCCGCCCCCCGCCGCGAGGGCGCCCACTCGCGGGACCTGCGGGGCGACCCAGGCGCGGCGCCGGCCCCGCCCCCGGCACACCTTGCGAGGGAGGGGGCGGCGCGCGGCCTGCGCCTGCGCACTGCGCCCGCGCCCCCCGCCCGCGTACCTGCGCCGGGAACCGCCGGGGCGCGCGCCGGCCGCGCTAGGACGGAAGGCGGGCGGCGCGCGCGCTCGCGGCCGGGGCGGGGGCGGGGCCCGGGCGCGCCTGCGCAGACCGCGGGGGCGGGGCGCGGCCCCGGGGCGGGGCCGGGCGGCCGGTGGAGGCCGGGGGCGGGGCGTCGCGGCGCGGCGGGGCCTCGGGAGGGCGCAACAGCTGCTCCGAGACACTTTCTGACCCAACAGTCCCCCGGCGCCGGACGCGCCGCGCCCCGGCGGCTCTAGGGACCCCCCGCGCCTGCACTGTCCCCGCGCGGACGAGTAGGGGGCGCCCGCGCCTTTGCCCCCCGTGCGCACCCCCGCCCCGCTCACCTTAGCCCCGCGCCCGAGGTGAGCCCGGCCCCCAAATCCTCCGGGTGGGGGTGGGGGGGCGCTCCTTTTTGGGGGCGGGGGGCTTCTTCCGGCGCGAGGCCACGAGGCGCCCCGGGGATGGCGGCGCCCAGCGCCCCGTGGCCCCCCGCGTGTTTTGGGGGCCGTGCGGGCGCGGGATCCGGGAGGTGCCGGCACAAAAGGCCGAGAGCGCCGCCGCCTCCCGCCGCTCCCCGCCCCCTGCGCCCCGCGCCTCCCCATTCAAACCCGCGGGCCGCCGGCCCGGCCGCCGCCGCGCGAGGAAATGGCCGCGCAGCCGGAGCCGCAGGTAAAGGGGCGCGCCGCCCGCGCACCCCCCGCGCCGCCTCGCGCCCGGCCCCGGCCCCGCCGGCCCCCCCGCCCGGCCCCCCCACCCCGCGCCCCGCGCCCCGCGCCCCGCTCCGCGGGCGCCCCCGCCCCGCTCGTCCGCCCGCCCGCGCGCGCGCGGACCCCGCGCTGACCGCGTCCCCGGCGCTCCCTCGGGGCGGGGGCGCCCCCCTCGCGGCGGGCGCGGGGCGCGGGGCGGCGTGCGCGCCTGCGTGCGCGGGGGGGCTGCCCCGGAAAAGTTGGGCGCCCGCCGGGCCGGGGTCCGCGCCGCGGGCCGGGGTCGGGGCCCGGGCCCGCGGCGAGGTGGGAGCAGCCGGAGCAGCCCGCGCGGCGCCCGCGAACAATGGCCGGGACCGGGCGCCCCCCGCGCCCCCCAAGCCCGCCCCGTGGCGCCGGGGATGCCCGCCCGGGCGCGAGAAGGCGCTTTTCCTGCCCCCCGGTCCACGTTCACGGTTTGGGCTTGTTCCCTGGCCCCCGAGCAGCCCCTCGACGCCGGGGTCCTGGCGCCCCGTTCCCGCGGGGAGGCGCCCGCCCGCGCCGGGGACCCCGGGAGGCGGGGGCGCGAGTGTCGGTCCGAAGTGCCCCGGTTCCGAGAGGGAAGTTCCGGCGGGGCCGGCGGGCGCCGCGCGGCCCCGAGGTCGAGCGCCCCCTGCGCCTCTGAGGCCGCGGGCTGGAGGGGGGTCCGGCGGGCGCGCGGGGCCGAGGGTCCGGGGGAGGCCCGCGGGGGACGGGAGCCGCGTGGGGGGGGGGCGGGCGGGCGCCCCCACGGCTTCCTGGAGCAGGGACGCGCCTCCATGGGCCGCTCCCGGGGACCCCCAGTGGCCCGTTCTCGCTCGGAGAAGCGCACCCCCGTCGCGCCTCGAGGGAGGGGCGTCACTTCAAAGTTGGGGCTTCGCCGTGCGGTTCCCCTTTGAGATGCCCGGAGCCCGACCCGTCCCCCCGTGGCCCCGGCGGGCGCGCCGAGCAGCCCTGGGGGGTTGGGAGGGTGGCGGTTGCCGGGGTCCGTGCCCGTTTTTCGGGGGGGCGGCGGGGTACTGGTCGCCGGACGTCCGACGGCCGCGGGCCCGCTCTCCGGCCGGCCGGGCCCCGCGGGCCGCCGCGCTCTGATTCGGCTCAGGTTGATCCAATCATGTCTTCACCGCGCGGAGCCGGGGACGGGGCGACACGAGCTGAGGCAACAAAAGAGCGGGCGGGGAGGCGGCAGCTGCCGGCCGGGCGGGCCCGGGGGCGCCTCACCTCCTCTTTTGTGTGTCTCAAGAAGCACTTTCGAGACGCGGGTCCCGCGCGCCCCGGGCCCTCCCGGGAGACGGGGCGGCCCGGACGGCGCTGAAACGCCGAGCGCGGCCACCCTGGGGGGCGGGCGGGGTTCTCGGCCGCGCGGGCCGCGGCGGCAAGTGCAGTGGTGACCGGGGCGCTTTTTGTCTGAGAACTAGAGGCCGGGGCGGGCGGGCTCGGGGGCGCGGGGCGGCCCCCGCGGCGCGGCTCTGCGGGGCCCGAGTGCGGCCGCTTCGCGCCCGGAGGCCGCGCCTGCGCGCGTGGGGCCGCGGCGCCCGTTCGCCCCCGTCCCGGCGGCGCCGCACTCGGGGGGCGGCGACTGGGGGTAAAAACGCCCCCGTTGTCAGGAGCGACGGGCGCGTTGGTCGTTCCCGCGGCCTGATGGTTACACCGGGACCAGCGACCCGCTCGGGCCGGGCCGGTTCGGGGACGGGGAGGCGCTTTCCTCAGGGCGGCGGTCGCCCCCCGCGGGCGGGCGCGGGAAGATGCTGCCGCGGTCCGGGCCCTGCCCCCGCCGCCCCCCGACACCCCCGGCCGTGTGCTGCCTCCCGAGCTCGGCGCCCGCCGCGGGTCAGAGGGTCCCTTTCACTTCTTCATCCAGAAAAGGGAAGCGGCGCGGCCCTGACCCGACTGGCAGGAACCGTCCCCTCCAGCCGAGGAATCCATGCGGGGGCCGCGCCTCCGCCGCCCCCGCCCCGCCCGCCCCCGAGGGCGGAGCCCGGCTGCTCGGTCCCGGCTCCCGAGGCGCAGGTCGCGCTCTCGGGGGCCGCCCGCCCGGCCGCGGGCGCCCCCCAGCCGGCCTTTGAGGAGGAAATCTGAGCAGGGGCGCCCCGCGTCTCTTCCAAAGGGAGGAAACGCTTAGGACGGGACGGCCGATAGGTACAGGCCGCGCGCCGCCCCGTCCCTGCTGGGTGCCGGCCCTGGCCTCGCCCTCACTCGCGCCCTCCCCGATGTCTGCCTGGGGGCGCCCGGGGTCCCCGAAAGTGCGTTGTTCCCCACTGTCTAGAACTGCTCCCGCGGCGCCGAAGCCCCGAGCCCGGGGAGGCTCCGCTCCGCCCGGCCCGGGTTGAAGTGATCGGGCCCCTGCTGTGCTTCACGTGAGGCGCCTGCGGCTCGCTCTGAGGAGCCTCGCGGTGAGGGCGTCACGGCGCCGGCCTGGCCTCTGCGCTCGGTTCTGAGGTCGACTTGTTCTCGGGTCGGGCCGCTCGCCGCGGTTCTGTCCTGCCGCGCCCCGTCCCGAGCACACGAGCGGGGGGTGAGGCCGGGCCGGGGCCGGGGCGGGGCGGGGCTGTGCCTCCCCGGCGCCCACTCAGCCGACGGGCCGGTGAGAAGCCGGAGCAGGACGGTGGGGGTTGGGGGGGCAGCGGGGCCTGGAGCTCAGGGACTCGAGGGGGACGGGGCGGTGCTGAGGTGACTGTTGAGGCGGCGACCTGGGCGGGCCTCCCCAGCAGCCAGCCCGGAGTCGGGGCGCCCTGTCAGGAGCGGCCCTGGAGGGGGGCTTAGCCCCTGCCTGGGAGAGTCTGGCCGTGGCGCCCACCCGGGTGGGGGCGGGGAGGGCGCGGGGGTCTCCACGCACGTGGAGGGAAGACCCCGTTACACAAAGACGCCAGGAAGTGGCCCAAGCTCGCGGGGGAGGGGCGCCGCCTCCCTAACTTCATGGGCCCTTCTCCGGGGGCAGGACGAGCGCCCCTGGCCCGAGACGCGGGCTCCGCGGCGGGCGGGGATCTCGGGCCCGGTGCTGCCGCCGGCCCTGAGCGCTGGCGTGTGGGCCGGGCAGAGGCTCGAACCCGCCGGGGGGCGCGAGTCTGGCTTGGAGGAAGTAGGAAGGGCAGGACCGGCCGGCCGCCCCGAACTCCGCGGCTCGCGGTGAGCAAGCTCGGGTCTGGTCTGGTCCGTCTTCCAGATAAGCAGGGGGGAAGCCCCTGGGAGCCGGCGGCCTCCACGGTCGCCCTTTTCTTCTTGACGCTGGGATGCTCGTGAACCAGCTGTAGTTTGAACATTGCGGACTTACATCCCCGCTACTTCCTGCCCGGGCAGCTGCATGACTGAGTTACTGGAAATTTGGGGCCAGTTTGGTAATTTTATGTTCGAGTTGAGAAATAAACTTATTAACCCGAAAAGACAGCTGAGTAAGTGTATGAGAAGTCGTGTCATTCCTGGGCCTGCTTCTGAGGCTTCACCGAGCTGTTTTTAACCAGCCCCTTCCTCTGAGCCCTCCCCGGGCCCTTGGCCCCGAGCCCCGTGCCAGGCTTTTAAAAAAGGGGCTCGTGGGGCGTGTTGTGCGTTGGTGTGCTTTCGTTTCCAGTCTCGGGAAGCCTTGTGAATGTAAAATGCAGCTATTTGGATCGGAAGTGGAGCGGCTAGATGTGTCCTGTTCTTGAATCTGCACTTAGGAGGAGAAAAACTCTCTTTAAAAATTATTATTTTTCTAGTTTCTAGTTGTCCTATCTATTACATCAAGATAGCCTCAGTCAGCTCAGGTATACCAGAAGTGGTTTTGATTTCTATTAAACGGTGGTGAGTTTGTCTTAGTTAAGTTTACTGAACGCTGATTGTAGGTAGCAACTCAGAGGAGACTTTCCCCCTTCATTTTGAAAGCAAACAGGTGACTTACAACTTGTAGTATTTACTCAACACAACAAAGATAGGCAGGGGAAATTGAAATGTTGCTAAAGAAAGACCTCATGCCTTAAGAGGCCTGGCCTGTGTTTATATTTAATCTGAAGTTAGTTAAATTGGGTATAATTAAGGGCACTTGCCATTTGACCTTGTGGAAGAAAAGGCATAGGTGTGCAGGGCTGCGCCGTGGCTGGTGATTCCCGTTGTGTGTGTGCGCCTGTGTGTACACAGACACACACACACACACAGAGCTGTTTGTGTGTGTGTTCACACGGCGTTTTCTTTGTAGCGAGTTGAAGACAGGTAAAGATAGAATAGTTTGTTTTGTTTTTAGTTTGCTGAAATCTCCCTCTGGTGTGGTTAATCCTGTTTAAAATCTTCTCAAAATATTTCAGGTAGGCCTGGTTAAATAGTAATAATCGAAACCCACTGATAGTAATGCTTATTAATCTTGCTTCATTAAAACCCTTTTCTAAAATTCCTTTTCCTTAGAGTTCTCCTTTTCAGGTCAGGATGGGATTTTGAAAAGCCAGCTTCCAGACCACAGTGTCTGTTACTATTGATCATATTGAAACCAAAACTAGCATGTGGTGCTCCGAGTTCGCATTCGGATCCTTTAACTGACCTCCATTGATTTCGCCGTGAATCAGTTTTTAACTGACCCTTACACATGCTCACAGGAAGACGTTTTTATAGTGCTGTGGTCTAATGGCATGTAAAACCTAGCTCTTGCGTGCACTTTGAAGAGAATGAGACTGTCCCTCAGGAACTTCCCAAGCTTTGCTGTGACTGCCTTGTCATGTTGGTTGTCATCTCGGCCTGGTTCTTACTCTCTCGCTTTCGCTTAACTTTTAAGCGTCTCAGCTCTGTTAGGAAAGCAGGGTCGACCATTTAGCCCTTGGTTGTGACCTTGGTGATTTCCTTGAAATAATAGTGAAGGGTTTAAAGTTACAGGTTTTGATTTCTGCTGATGATTGCTCCGTAAAGTCCTCTTTACTTGTCAGACTAAGGAAAAAAATATAGGACAGTTGACAGAAATGAAGTTTTCTGACCAGGTCTGGGCTGTCCTGTCGGAGCCAACCACTGGCTTGCCAGCGGGGGGCATTTGTTGGGGTTGGATGTTTTCACATTTATTTGGAGAGGAGTAACTTGGGGGTAAAAAAGATTTGCAGGAATACTGAACATTCCTTGGCTGTAGATGGAATTTTTATGTTTTTGAGCAATTTTAATACCTGCTGCCTCACTATGGAAATAATTCCATACCAAGAGGCGCAGGACACCTGTGGGCCGAAGCAGGGGTGGGCGGCCCTGGCCCTGCAGGGCGGCAGCCTGAGTCCATCCGGGTGAAGAGCAGGGTCAACTCACCACACTTTGTCGGCAAGGGTGGGGGGGGGTAGCAGTTACCCTAATTTGTTGTGCTCAGGCAGGAAGAACTTCTTCTCTTTGAAAGCATTGTCTGATGTGTGATACTTGCTAATTTCAAACCCTACAGGGAGTGGCAGAACTCAGGGTAGCTCTGGTCCCTAGTGGCTGCCTACTGAGTCGTGCAGAAGGGGTGTCCTAGAGAGCCAGGCTGCTCTTCCAGGCACTTAGAACAATGTGGTTCCTACTCCTTTTCAGAGAATACGTTGTGGTAAATTGAAAAAAAAAAAAACAAAAACCAAAAAAACTTAAGTCATCACAATATAAATTAAACCCTAGTATTTTCTTAAAACAGAGGTCAAACCTTTGAATAACTCTGGCTTCCGGTTCCTGGGGAATTTGGCTGAAGGCTCTGTGCTGCCATTTACCGCGAGTAAAGGTGTAACTTTTTTTTTTTTTTTTAAAGCTGAGGAACATTTTTGCCAAGGCTGCCTCTGGGTGCGCCAAGTCTGCTCAGACCGCTCACTTCCCCACAAGTTTAGAAGCATCTAAGCTGCGGGTGTTGGGCCAGAGTGACCCCTTCTCTCCCCCTCCTGCTCTGTTGACAGTTGGTTGACTGTGTATCGGCAGGATCTGGACGGGCAGCTGGCTTCTGTGGGCTCCACAGGTAGGGGCTGAAGGTTCTGGAAGGTTGTGTCGGCACTCCACACAGCTCCCCACTCTCCTCTCAAAGAGGCTGATGGCACTAACCGTAGGCTAGACTTTATTTTTCATATGTTCTGATATTATTAGGGTATTACTGCAATCACTCTATGACGATTTCTTATTTCCGTATCAGATTGGCTGTAAGTGATGGAGATACTGACTTAAGTGTAAGGCAGTGTCTGTCTCTAAAACCACAGTTTCCAAGCCAGGCGGGGGAGGCACTCGCCAGCGACCTCCCTGGCTGGCATGCTGGCGGGCAGTTTGGTGGGGCCGTAAGCGTGGCGATGAACCCAAGGGGTGCAGCTTTGCTCGTGCTGATCCACTTTATGGTACGATTAAATGTGGGTTCTTTTTATTACGCTCTTGAAACTGCACAGAATGGTAGTTAGGTGGAAGCCTTCACTAGCCAGGTGGGAGGTGGGATGAACATCGAAGTTAATTTCAATGTCAGATCAGTTAGGCTTGGGGCCTGCACCAGAGGGGCGCGTCCTGTGGATCGGGGCCTCCCCGGGCGGGGAACCCCTCTCAGCAGTGAGTGGGCTGACCAGTCCTCTGCTCCTAGGGTCCGACTTGATGGGGGTGGCAGTGGAGGGGAGTGACGCGCACCGAACAGGCGGTTTCAGAGATGAACAGAAGCCACGGAAGCCGTCACTGGCTGTGGGGGGAGATGGGGGCGAGCCGGGGCAGTGGTCCAGCAAGAAGCTCCCAGGGAGGGGACGTTTTTTGGGGGTGAGTGGTGAGGATTGCTGTCCGGGCAGGTGGACACAGTGGATGGCGTGGGCTTTGTCCAGAAGCTTCCCTGCAGGAAGAGGCACTGCAGATTTGTCTGGGGCCGAGAGGGGGAGGGGTCTTCCCTGCTGACCACCCAGAGGACGCTGATCTTTAGGTCCCCATCCGCTTCACCCTTCTGGCAGAAAAGGCAGGCAGGCCTGTCCAGTTCCTGCCCTCCTAACTGCCCCAGGCCTGGAGCCTGATTGTGGCTGGCTTGACCCAGATGGCTGAGAATCTCAGCCAGAAATTGACACGAAACCCTCTCTGCTGCAGGTATTTCCTAGATGGGCAGTTACCCTGGCGATAAATAAGAGGCAGGTACCCACCTCGGTTTCTCATCCAGAGGTTGAATTTAGGGTTGGTGTCTTTTAGGGAAAAATACAGACATAGAAAAGGGGAGTTTTCCCATACTTAAAGATTCTGTCGACTAGCCAGATTTCTAACAAATAATAAATCTAAAAGGCTGAGGGCTGCCAGGGGACTGACTACCTTTGATTTTGCCAAATAAGAATATTAGAAAATACCCCACTGCTTGCTGTTACCACTTGCACTTTTTAAAACGGGCATTTTGGCACCAACATGTGGAAAGGACCTCAAATAAAAGACAGTTTTTCTTATTGGAGTGAATCCCGTGGCCTTGCGCAGAGCTCCGTGGTCCTGCCCCCTGCTCTCGCCTGCGCATTGTCCAGTGGAAACACCTTGAGCGCGGCTGGTCTGGAGTGTGGCGCGTGTGCTGTGCTCTCTCCAGTTAAAGTGCTGCTCGGGACGCCGCGCTCAGTAAATATTTATTGAATAAGTAAATGACGACGTGGAAACCTCAATTACCAGTCACACGTCCAAATACAGCCTCGTGTCTTCGTCAGCATAGTCCTTAAATGTGCTTTTGCATCTGTCCGTGGAGGTAGAGCTACCCCCTGGAGCCATGGACTCTTGGGGCTCTCAGGCTGATCCTGTCATGGGCCGCATGCCCTAAGCAGAGAAGCACAAGGTGTGGGGAGGTGTGGGGAAGCAGCCGCGGCCCGGCTGTCGCTTGCCGGCGGCGAGAAAGCTGGGTCTCTGGAGAGTTGTGCTGCCCTCCTGTTGTGACTGCAGCAAAGCCTGAGACCCGCAGGTGCCTGGTCAGTGCCTGCTCACTTCTCTCCTCTGGGACCTGCAGTCTTAACAGGAAAGCTTTCTGTTGAAGATCTAGTTTATTCGAAACTCAACAGAAGTAGGAGCATTTTCTGTTTTAATGTGTGGAGGAGGTGAGCTCCTGGGCGTCCCTGCACCTCCTGGCCCTTGCTCTTTGAGGAAGTGGAGACGAGGAAACTAGGTTTGTTCTGTTTTGTTTTGACCTTGCATTGCACGGGTGGTCTGCAGGCCTCTTGTTTCCTTGGGTGCAATTAACTGACTTAAGCTAGAGCAGCAAGGGACTTTCTCAGCCAATTCCTGTGCTGGCCCTGGGGGGCAGGGAGGGGTGTCTGACCTGGCCAGTGCCGCTTGTGAAAGGTGATTAAAAAATGAGAGGATCCGTTTTCTGATGAAAGATGAAGACATGCTGACCAGTCACACTGAGGATTCCGTTGGAGACTGTGTGTGTTCACGAAGTAGCTGTGTGCGTATGTGTTTCCTTACAGTACGTGTTTCCACACCGCAGTTTGCACGGGAGCGCCCCTGAAGCTGGCTTGGTTATCCAGGGGACCAGAATCCATTGCGCGCTCGCGGCAGGGTGGACAGCCATCCCGGGCGGTTCTGTGCTTCTGAATGGGGAGTTGGGAAAGATTCCTGTTTGGGGGTGAAATCTTCTGGTGTGCTGTGGGCATTTGTGTCCCCATGTGCGTACCTGTGTGTAACACAACTAGAAGCTCTGGCTGGAGTGTTTTTGCCTAAGGTGCTGTCATGCTTGATATTTACGAACATTCTAGTGTGAAAGCTACGTTTTAGTGACATTCAAAATGAATTCTGCTGAATTTAACAGTTTATTTCCCCTGCAACTTGGCATTTTAGGTTTAAATCATTACGGTACCATATCTGCAGTTTCTTAACTGGTCGATATGCTAGCAGTTTAAGTCAGCGCGTCCATTGGATAAAATGCTAACGATTCAGTGAGCGAGCGTGCTGGGCGGTTGCAATGTATGCGACATGGTAGCCAGAGGTGAGCTAGTTGACAGTAGGGACCCTCAGCTCCATGCGAGGGCCTCGGGGACTTGGCCTCCCGGCCTTTGCTGTTCTGGTGTAGCTCACTGTTCGTATTTCCCCCCCTCCCCCCAGGTTTTGGAAATCCCTTGTCTCCAGGCTGCTGGAATCGACATCTTGCTCAACTGAACCACTCACTCAATGGAGACCAGGAGAACGGATGCTTTGAGCTGACTCATTTGCATCAAAGCCTCAGAACGTCTGCCCGCCCTGTTAGTGGAAAGAACCAGCGACCGTCGCTCTGTGCTTCCTAAGACTTCGAAGGTCACCGGTTAGGGGAACACAAGCTTTCTTCTGAACTTTGATGATAAATATTTGCTCCAGTTTTGAAGCCTGGGGCTGCTGGAGGTGTGAGTGACAAGTCTCGCAAGTGGCCTTATTCCAATTTCAGAATTTCCTCCACCTGGTTCTTAACTTCCTCTGCGATCCCACAGGGACAGGAAAATGCCCACTCAGTCCCTCTTAGTGTACATGGACGGGCCGGAAGTCATTGGCGATGCGCTGGGCCCCCAGGTGGAGATGGAGGATGCCGTGCCCATGAAGGGGACGCCCTCTGTGCCTTTCCGGGCGACGCCGGAGAAGAGCACGGCCCAGGTGGAGGGACCCCTGCCCCTCGACTGCATGTTCTGCAGCCAGGCCTTCGCGCACGCGGACGACCTCAACAAGCACGTCTTGACGCAGCACCGGCCCATCCTCTGCGAGCCGGCCGTCCTGCGCGTCGAGGCCGAGTACCTCAGCCCTCTTGATAAGAGCCAAGGCAGGACGGACCCTCCCAAGGACAAGCCTGGCAAAGAAAACGAAGAACTGAGCTGTGAGGTGTGCGGGCAGACGTTCCGGGTGGCCTTCGAGGTGGAGATCCACATGAAGAAGCACAAGGACTCCTTCACCTACGGGTGCGCTGTGTGTGGGCGCAGGTTCAAGGAGCCCTGGTTTCTGAAGAATCACATGCGGACTCACACCGGCAAGTCGGGGGCCAAGGGGAAGCTGCAGCCGGGCCTGGAGAGCCCTGCCACCATCAACGAGGTGGTGCAGGGCCAGGCCCCTGAGAGCATCGCCTCTCCTTACAAAATCTGCATGGTTTGTGGCTTCCTCTTTCCAAATAAAGAAAGTCTGATTGATCACAGGAAGATGCACACCAAAGACAGGGCTTCCGGCCCCGGCCACACACAGGCCGACCCGCGGCAGGAGGGCATGCGGGCCCCGGGGCAGGAGTTCCTGCAGTTTTTAAACCTCAGACCCACCTCGCACCCAGAGACCGGCCGGCAACCCGCCAAATGGATACCTCAGCTTGACCCCTTCACCACCTACCAGGCCTGGCAGCTGGCCACCAAGGGCAAGGTGGCCGTGTGCCGGGAGGTGAAGGAGCAGCCGGGGCAGGAGGGCAGCACCGACAACGACGACTCGTGCTCGGAGAAGGAGGAGCTGGGGGAGATCTGGGGTGCCAGCAAGAGCCAGGCTGACGGCGCCGGCAAGGCCAAGGCGGGCAGGGGTGGTCCCCCCGGCCTGGCCCACGATAAAGACAAGCCCCGCCACGCCAGCGGCGAAGTGCCTTCGGCCGACGGCGACCCCAAGCTGCCGGGCCACAAGGACAAGCCCACGCACTGCGCCGAGTGCGGCAAGGCCTTCCGCACCTACCACCAGTTGGTGCTGCACTCGCGTGTGCACAAGCGGGATCGCCGGGCCGACGCTGGCTCGCCCCCCCTGGCCGCCGACGGGAGGCTGCCCGGGACGTGCTCCCCCGACCCCACGGCCCCCCAGACGACAGCGGCGCCGTGGACCGAGAAGGTGGTTCTGAAGATGGGTCCGAGGACGGGCTCCCGGACGGGCTCCCTCTGGGTAAGCTGTCCCCACCGGGCGGGGGGGTGGGGCAGCGGTGTCACCTGCTCCAAGTCACCCCACTCTTGGCCCTTGCAGTCTCATTTCTGTAGTAGCAGGGCCTCCTGCCCTAGGGTTCTGTCACTGCACAGCTGCGCTCCTGACCGGCCGCCTCGCCCCGGCGGGCGCCTGCGCCTGCCACAGCCCAGTGGGGTGGGTGCTGGTGCGTGGTGCGTGGCGGGCCGAGCCCAGGATGTCTGGACAGCACCACGCTCGTAGAGCTCGCTGGGCCGGGCCTAGGCATTGGGGCTAGGACCCTGCTGGGCTCTCACACAGGCCGTCCTCGCAGCACAGCCGCCGGGGCCCAGCGCTCTTCCTGCCTTGGTCCTGCAAGGGCGCCTAGCAGTTCCGGGGCAGGTGCTGCCTGACCCTTGTCGGGGGCTCCCCGATACTGACCCTCGTCGGGGGCTCCCCGATGGTCATTAGCAGTGAGCTCAGTCACACCAGCGCTGTTCCCGGAAGCTCACCTGCTGAGTCAGGTGGGTGAAGTGGGGCTGGCTTTTATGGGCTGGGGGTCCAGCCACCCCCCTGGTCCTGCCCACCGCCCTCGAGGAATACTTTCTTTGGTGGAGAGATCCCGACGCTTGAAAACACTGCAGAGGCAGCAGGTGGCTGGTGCGGCCACGAGTGTCCTTAGAGTTGCCGCTGGCAACTGCCCGTGGAGCTCATGTCCCGAGCGGTCTGCGCGGGCCCGTGGGTCTCACCGCCGGTCCTGGGCCGCTCCTCTTCCTGAAGCTGGTGCTGGCGCGCGCGCTGGGTGTGAGAACAGATTTCTGGGCAGACGCCTAGAATGCTGTGAGCTTCCTGGCCTGACCCGGCACGGGGCAGTCCGTTTTCAGAAATCTAGAAAACTCATTATGATGACATCATAGAAAGACTTTGGGCACAGACTTGTAGTCCCCTAGGTGACTGTGGTTCATGTCGCACCACGGGCGGGGTGGTGGGGGGTGGCATGGGGAGATGACTCAGCCTGAGACGCCCCCTCTCCGGAAGCCCCGGCGGCTGGGCCCTCCTGCCAGTAGGTGGTGTGGACAGAAGGGCTGGACCGTCAGGCAGAGAGGGGACCCGGTGATCGTTCTGGTGATCGCCGGGAGCACCAAGCGCGCGTGCGTGCGTGTGTTCGTGTACACATGCATGTGTCTGTGCATGTGTGTAGTGTGTGTGCGCGCACACATATGTGTAGCTGGTTCTTCCTCTGCGCTGATTTGTGACCTGTCGCTTGTGACCTTCCGTGCCCTGAGTTCCCTGTCTGCAAAACCGCTTCATCGCCCCCGGCCCCCACCTCCCCGGGGTGGTTTCTGTGCTTGGAAAGTCCACAGTCCTTCAAGAAGGGAGCAGGGGGCCAGGCAGGTGGATGTGGACAGCTCATGCCCTTCGTGTTAAAATACAAGTACTCTATAACTTTTTTGGACATGATGCAACATCCCATGAGTCCTGACACCTGCTTGGAAGCAGGGAATCGCAGCACGGTGTACGCTCAGCACAAACTCAGCTGCTTGGGTGTGACTTGTGGGAAGAAAGTTGGGCGTTTAAAAATCCGGGGACTTGACTTTACTGGATTTGTATTAAGAAGCCATCTTCTGACCTAGACGTGGCGATCTCGTAAATACTGCCGCCTGGCTTTGAATTTGCTTTTAAGATCAAATAGCGAAGTAATCGATCTTCATTTTTCTCAGCTTCTGTGAACAGGTTTAATGGCAGCTGTTTCGTATCATTTATTTCCTGAGGTCTTCACGGCACCTTTAGTGCGCAGTGGGGCTGCCCTGCTGGGGGGCGGCACGGCGGTGTCCTGCCCCGCGAGGTCAGCCGCCGTGCTGCTTTATAAAGTCACACCGGCGTCAGCCGTCCGGGGTGCGAAGTGTGCAAGGAGCAGGACTTCGAGTTGGAGGTGACAGTTTTGCAAGCCAGGCCACTGGTCACTCGGCGGCCGTTTGAAGGGATGGGGGTCACCTCTGGCCCAGTTGTGAGGGGGGGCGCCCCGCCCTTTCCGCTTCCCACTGGCCTGGGGTCGGGTGTACCCCGTGTTGTGGCTCCTTGTCTGGGGGTGGTGTTTGAGGTCGCCGTCCCTGCGCGGGTGTCCCCAGTGCACACAGGATGCCCGGGCTCAGGTTACCCGCGGAGATCAGGTGTGAAGCCGCCGCGGGCAGGCGGGTGGGTGTGGGCGCCTGGACGGCCTGTACCTGCGCCCCCGCGGCCAGCGGGGCTCTGCGGGGCTCTGCGGGGCTCTGCGGGGCCTCCCCGCCCAGAGCCCCGGCTCCCGCCGCGATTTGGTGGTGCCTGCCGCCCTCTAGCGGCTTCCCGGGGAACAGCTGGCCCTGGTCCTTGGCGGCGGAGGGCTCGTGTCCCAGGGCGAGCAGGGAAGCTGGACAGCAGGGGAGCAGGACCTTCCCGCCTGGACGCGCCTCCTTTCAAGGCGGACGCGAAGCTGCCTCTTGGGCAGCGACCTCTGCGGGGCCGGGACAGGAGCGGCGGCTGCGGGTGTTCCCTGGGCGGCCGGCCTCCCGCTCCCGGATGGCTCTGTCTTGACGTCGGTGTTTTGTCTTTGCTTTAAGATAAAAACGACGACGGAGGAAAGATCAAGCACCTTCCGTCCTCGAGGGAGTGCAGCTACTGTGGGAAGTTCTTCCGTTCCAACTATTACCTCAACATTCATCTCAGAACACACACAGGTGAGGCGCCGCTGGGCTTCTCACAGCCTGTGCCGGCCGCGCGGGTGATGGGCCCTGGCTGGTGTCCGCTGGGCAGCGAGGGCGGCCGCCGCTGTGCCCCGTGTGGCCTCCGGCTCTGGGCCCATGTGGACGGGGCTTGTCTGGGTACGCAGCGGTCACAGCCGCATCCTCCACTCTCGGTGCGCAGCTGCCCGCGGCCTGGTGGTGCGGGATGGGTGAGAGTCCTTCCTCCCCGCCCTGGCAGAGGCTGGGCGCTGCGGGCCTGGAGCTGGATGGCCTGGGGTCGCAGCCCCCCAGCCCTCCTGACACCCCCACCCCTGTGACAGCACTTAGCCGAGGTGGTGGACGAGGAGCGCGTGGCCAGGAGTGGTGGACAAGGAGCGCGTGGCTGGGGTGAGGGTGGTGGACAAGGAGCGCGTGGCCGGGCTGGTGGACAAGGAGCCCGGGCTGGCCGGTGCTGCTCTGCTCGCTGGTGGAGACAGCCACGCGGGGTCAGGGTCTGGGGCGTGAGCCCTGGGGAGAGGTCGCTGCAGACCGAGTGGACAGGGCAGGACCCCGCGCCCTCCGTTAGGTGCTTTGATTTCACAAAGGTCTGTTGGGCAACTTTTCCTAAACTTCTGGTGACGGGGCCTCTCTCCTAGGGGAAAAGCCGTACAAATGTGAATTCTGCGACTACGCAGCGGCCCAGAAGACCTCCCTGCGGTACCACCTGGAGAGACACCACAAGGACAAGCAGGTGGACTCGGCGGTGGAGGTCAAGGGCGACGCGAAGCCCCCTGAGGCCGAGGAAGCACTACTCTCCAGCGATGCCGCGCAAACCAAAAATTTGAAAAGATTTTTTGATGGTGCCAAAGATGTTAAAGGCAGCCCGCCCGCGAAGCAGCTGAAGGGGGCGGCCTCTGCCTTCCAGAACGCCCTGGGCGGCGCTTCTCCTGCCCCCGCCCCCGCCCCCAGGGACACTCAGGACTTCAGCAGAAATGTCCTCGCCGCAGAGGATGCTGCAGAGAGAGCGCGCAGGAGCCCCGCCCCCGCATACTTGGACCTGTTGAAAAAGAGACCCGTGGCGGAGCCTCCCGCCGGGCGCCCCCCATGCACCCTGCACCCCGACAGCTCGGCCCTGAAGGCCATCGAGGCCGTTCCCAAGGACAGGAGGGGGGAGCGGCCCCCCGACGCCCAGGAGAAGCCCTTGAACTTGTCGCTGGGGCCGCTGCACAGCTGCCCGGCCATCTCTCTGAGCAAAAGTCTGATCCCCAGCATCACTTGCCCGTTTTGTACCTTCAAGACCTTCTACCCCGAAGTTTTAATGATGCACCAGAGACTCGAGCATAAGTACAACCCCGACACCCACAAGAACTGCAGGAGCAAGTCCTGGCTGCGCAGCCGGCGCACGGGGTGCCCACCCGCACTGCTGGGCAAGGACGTGCCCCCGCTGGCCGCCTTCCACCGGCCGCGGCCCAGGGCGGCGCCCCCCGCCAAGCCCCCCGCAGCCGACAAGGCCAAGCCCAGCGCCCCACGCCCAGCCGCGCTGCGCCCCCCGTGGGGGCCGACCCCAGCACTTTAGCGCCCAGCAACCTGAAGTCTCACCGGCCCCCGCCTGGCCTTGGGGCGCCGGGGGTGTTCCCCAAAGCCAGCCACCCCCCTGGCCCGGAGAAGGCGCGGCGGCCAGAGGCCCGGCCCAAGCCCCCAGTGCTGGGTGGTGGCCACCCCAATGGCCTGGCTGAGGGTGCCCCCCCGAGCGAGGGGCCCTGGGCGCCCCCTGCCAGAGACTTCTTCTGTGCTGAGCCGCTGCCCAAGCGCCCCAAGGCCGGCACCCCCGACGGGGACCCGCCTGCGCCCCCTGTCCGCAAGAGCTTCGACCACCTCCCCAAGTACCACGTGGTCCGAGGGATCACCTCGCTGCTGCCTCAGGAATGTGCGTGCCCCCCGCCCGTGGCGCTGCCCCCCAAGCCCCGCTTCCTGGGCTCGGCCTCCCCTGAGCCCCCTGGCGTGCTGACCCCACAGAAGCCCTACGCAGCCTCTGGGGCACTCTTCGCGTGTGGCCCCCCCGCGGGTCCCGGGCCGGGCCCAGCGCTAGAAGGTACGGCTGCGGGGGCGCGTGGGGAGGTGCCGGGCCCCCAGAGCTCAGCCGCCTGCCCCGAGAGCAGCCTCTCCTGTCCTTTCCTCTCTGTGCCCTTAGGGTGTGGGATTGGGGGCTGAGCACCCCGCCCCCTCTGGCCTCTCCTCCCCTGGACCATCACCTCACTTGTTCGTGTTTTTTCTCTTTTGCATGTGTTTGGGGTGCCCAGCTGCCTTGGGGTGCTTCTGTTCCTGTAGCCCATCCCTCCTAGACTTCAGAACAGGGGCATCATGGGCCTTTGGATCTGGTGCCCCCCCCCCCCCCAAACACTCCTGCAGCTCCCCCAGGGACCTGGACCGTTTGACTCACCCTCGTGCCTGCCCCTTGTGGGATGTCTGCTGTCCCCCAGAGACAAGCCCACCCCACCCTCTGCTTGGTGTTCGCCTCTAGGGCTGCTCTGGGAGGGCACCTGGGCCCGCGGGGGGGTGAGAGGGGGTGGCGCGGAGCAGGGCTTCGACGTGCCCGTGATGGTGTCAGGATGTGACCAAGCACGGATCTTTGCTGCCTTTTGCTTACAAGTGTCCCTTTTCCACCTGTGGCTTTTAAAACGGAGGAGTCAAAACTTTATCAGAAAGACTGTTACAAGCAACACCCTTCTGAAAATAATTTTTTCCTCCCACAGTTTGGGTTCGGGATGCATATGGGTTTAAAATACTTAATGCTGCCGTTTTCTTTGGGTTTTATAGTTCTTACCCGTGACAGCCTCGTACTGAGACAATCTCAGCTTTAGTAACTTAAAATTCTGGGCTAAGGAGTGCTCGGGCACACGGCTCAGCTGTCACTCGACCACCCGGGCTCTCCCGGTGCGCGCGCTCCTCAGTTATCACAGCTGGGAAATGTCGAAAATGCGTCTCCACCAACTCACAGCACATCCTCGTCGCTTCAGCTTGACTTTCTTCTAAACACGCTTTTGTACTTTTTTTCCTTCCACCAGGAAAAAGGCCCGTGTCATATCAACACTTATCTAGCAGCGTGCTACAGAAGAGAAACTACGAGAATTTTATTGGGAATGCACCTTATCGACCAAATGACAAAAAAACTTGATTTCCTGTTGGGGGAAGAGAGGTGAGCCTGTGAAATGTCTTGACTTAATTTAATTGAAAGCAAACTATCCAGCTTATGCAACATCATATAAAGTGAAATTGTTCTTAATTTTCGTTTTGGTTTAAGATGTTTTAAAACTTCATAAAGTGCTCAGGGTAAAGGCACTAATAACAGCAACTGCAAGTCACCAAGCATTTATTTAATGCCTGGCGCTGGTTGAAGCACTTTGGGATCATCACCTCTGCTGCTCTGAGCAGGGCGGGGGCAGGATTCCCTGGCTGTGCCACCCCCGGTTCTGTCAGTAGAATTCCGCTGGCACCAGCCGTGCCTGCACTGTTGGGTGTCCTCTGTGGCTGCTTCGTGGCAGATGTGGGCCATTCAAATGGGAACCCCATGGGCTGCGAAGCTGAAAATAACTACTACCCGGCCCTTTACAGTGGGAAGTTTTCCGAACCCCAGATCTGGTGGGGTGGGGAGGACGGTCTGGGCCTTCTGGGTGCACCCAACCTGCCGGCTTCTGCCCAGTGTTTCCAGGGATACCGGCACATCCTCGGTGCAGCACCCCAGGTTGTCTCTCTCCCAGCGAAGAGTAGAGTAGAATGGGCAGAGTCGTTGCTGGGCTGAGGCCAAAGCCCCCCCAGACACGGGCACGCCGTCCTGGCCCAGGCCAGTGGCAGCTGGTGACTGCCAGTGTCACTCTGGCCTCTGCCTGCATCGCCGCTACCCCAGCCACCTTCCGGCGCGCTCTGCCTGTCGCCCCTTCTTGACGTTTGAGGACCAGCCCGTGAGTCGTTTCTGCAGTGTTTGCCCAGGGCCGGGGCCCCCGTTTGTGTGCCCTCTGTGTGGCTCACATCCCTCCCTGGGGGCCCCTCTTCCTCCGCTGACCACGGGCGAGCCCCCTGCTCTGGGGTGGCGCTGATGGCCCCATGTTGGCCAAGCAGGTGAAGTGACAAGATACTTCCTGCCCCTCCTCTCCGGGAGGCCGTGCGCCCTCGAGCCTGTCCTGCCTGTGCTCCCTGCGCCACACGTTTTCCATCCCTACGGATCCGCGTTGGGAGTTTCTTGAGGTGGCAGCCGCCCCGGCAGCCTCAGTGTGACTGGAGGGGTGCTTCGGTGTCTGGGCAGCCACCGTCGCGTCCTTGGCACTGCCCAGTGGCCCAGCCTGTCACCCAGCCGGTCCCCTGATGCTTCCGCTGCCCGCCTGCGGCTGACACGGAGCAAGTTTTGTTTCCAGCTCCTTTTCACTTATTTTGCTTCCTAAACTATAGTCACCTGATCTGATCTCCTCTCCAACCTCCCCCACAGGTCTTGACGGATGTGTGCACGCTCCATGAAGTTAAATCAGCTCCTCCCTTGAGAGCGCGGATGGTGAAAGCTACTGAAATAAGCTGTGACTGTACTGTACATACGACGTGCCAGGAACACTACGGTTTTGTAAAGTTGTCCTGTAACTTTTGTACCAAATAGCAATAAAAACTAGAGTTGGAACGTTTGGTTGTACACAAATGGAGACCAGAAATCTCTATTTTGTCCCGGAATAATATTTTTTTTAGATTTGACCAAATAAGTGGAATTCTTTTGCATACTTGAGCGCTGCTGAGAAGAAATCATTTGGGTCAGGGGGTGGGGGGAGAAAGTATATAATGCTTGCACCTCAGGTTAAAGTCTGTACATAGAGAAGTTGTAAACCTGCTTGTTTCAACCCTGTCTGTGTCTTTGCTCTCGCTCGTCCCTTCGAGCAGTTTCTGCTACTTGTGCTCTTTTCGTTGAAAATGTATGTTTTTTAAAAAAATTTCTCAATGATTTGTATTATGTTAAATCCTTTGTAGTCTGTTGTTGTCCTAGTAACACAGTCATTAGTGGAAGTCTTGGCCCGCTGAGGTCAGCGCCCTAGACCTGTGCCCCCCACCTCCGACAGGTCCCCGCCCCCCGGTGCTTTTCTGAGGGGGGGGGGTGGCTTACGGGATTTTTAAGTGTGTGTGTCTGCCGAGAAGCATTTCTCTGCAGAACAGCCAAATACCCAGTAAACGTACCAAATTATACATGGGAAGTTACAGTTGTTTTCTAGCAAATTAATCATTTTTGTTGGAAAATTCAAAGGGTGGGGGGAGGGCGGGGGTGCGCCTTGGTCCAAATTAGCGCATCGAAACGGAGGGAGCTAAATTATACCTGTGAATTACCTATTCTGGAAGCAATTTTAAAGGCAGTAAAAGTTTCAGGGTCAATTTTAGGTTTGTGTTTGGAAGACTTGGTGCTGCTGGCTTTTGGGTTAACCATTCAGGTGAAATTAGCGACACTCGATTCTGAGTCGGGAGCTCCGGGCTGAGCCTTCTGGGAATCTGGGAGAGGTCCTCTGCTTCGAGACCTCGGCCGCCTTCCCATTTTTGGTTGTTTTGAAGCAGCAACATTTTTCTCAGTGCATATGCAGTCTAGCTTTTAAAGAGGGGTGGGCCACCAGCTGGCTCCCTGGACATTTTAAACTTTTGTTCCCTCGACACGCTGTCCATGTCCCGAGTTTTCGCAGCACATGGGCTTAGCAGCCACAAGATATTTTATTAAGAAACTTTCAAAAATAAATTTGCACTGTTCATCTTTCTTGCCCTGCCCTTCTCGGTCGAGCGAGGGTAAAGTTCTAGAAGAATCCTGATGTTTTTGTTTTCCCATTATGCAACGTGAAGTGAACTCGATAGAGGAGTCTTAACTCCCGCGCAGGGAGACCCAGTTGGAGAGTCTGCTGGCATCGCAATGAAGTGCTTTGCATCAGGAAAGTGGACATTCTTGACCTTTTCCTGTTCACAAGCTGAGCCATATGTACATAATCTAGATTTTTGTTTTCCTAGTTTTGCACTTTTATAGCCTATTTTTGAAGATTAACACAATTGCAAATAATTGACTTGATCTTTGCCTAAGCCAGTGAGTGTTACAGAGAGCTTGCTGTGACTGTACGTGTAAATCTTAAAGGGGGTATGTGATAATAGAGGGCTGAAATTTAAACCTGTATTTAAAAAAAATCACCAAATCTATTTGAAAACAAGTCAATTCATGTTATGCTGAAATTTTGGGGGCTTTTGGATTTCTTTCTAACCACCCTTCTGGATGCATAAAAATGTCAGTTTTTTTTTTTTTTCTCCACAGCCCTTGTATCCAAAATGTTGGTTTTTTTTTTTTTTTTTCCTTTTTTGTCCATCAGTATTAACTATTGGGATACTACTGGTTTTGTACACTTTCTTCCCTTTGAGACAACAGTACAATAGAGGTACAATCCGTTGGGGTTTTGTTTATGTATTTATTTCATTCCAGTTGGATTTATTTTAATTGTCGATACTTAAGTTGTCAAACAGTAGACATTACTTGTTTTATTTATGATATATTTCAGCTTAAAGTTATGTTATTATATGTGGATGTAAATATAGATTTGGTGTTTTGCAATCTTGGATTTTGGTCTCTTTATTCTGTGTTCCTGGATTCTGATTTTATTTAACATTTTCTCAGTACAATTTTAAACACACGGCAGGGCGGTCAGGCCAGCGCACCCCCAGACGTGACAGTCCTGGCCGGTCTTTTTGCCAGGCCTCCCCCACCCCTTCACACACACACAGTAAAGCAAGTCTCTCAACCACAGTTTACTTTTATTCCCAGAACACTGTATAGTGTGTGTCCTTTTCACCATCACAAGCAAGTGACGAGGGGGGAGCCTGCGGTCGGTCCCGTCTGCTCCCAGGGTCCCCGGGATGTCTTCCGGGGCTGGTCACTGGTGACCGGAATCCCAAGGAGATGCACCACCCGGCTTAGCTGATTTTCCACACACCCCCCGAAAGTTGCAGGTTGTCTGCTCTGCGTTGTTTGTGTTTATTGCATATTTGGTTTCGTGTAACCTCCACTCCCTTTAGTAAGGTCTATACATGTATAAATGAAATCCTGAGGTTTAGACAGATTTGAACTCCATTTGGGAGGAGGGGCCCGGCGTCACCCTGGAGGCTCCCGCTTGGCTCCATCCTGCAGTGCCCCTGAGCACGGGCCGCCTGGTGGACTGCCCAGCCCATGAGGTCCCCACCAGCCTCCCTGGGGTTACCCCATCGGGCATTGGGAATGTGCAGGGGGTGACTTTAAAAGTTCTGTGATTCCTTCATTTATTAGCTGGGAATCCCTTGTGCTGTGGTTTCCCCAAACTAATGCTTGAGCCAGAAAGGATAACTGCTCGGTTTCGCGCCCCTCCCCCGGCAAGGAGGTGGTGGTTCCTGCCTTTTCCAGACCTGAGCCCTGAATGCACTTGGGGATTTGGCAACGAGTCGTGGGCCTTTGCACACTGGACGGCCTGAAACCACTGCGCGCGCCATTTTGATGCCATCTCTGGCCACAGGCCCGTCAGGTGCGTTCAGGTGGGCTCGGAGTTTTAAAAACAGCTCAAGGCCCTCAGCTGTAGGACTAGGGGGCCTGAGCTCACCTTGACGCACACCTGGAGACGGGGATTCCCCACGGATCCTGGCCCTTCTGGGAAGTGGTCATTGGAAAGGGTGACTTGGCGGTGAGCGGCTCCCCCGCAGGGATGCTCCGCTGCTGGGCCTGATGGCGAAACAAAGAAATGGGCAGGTTCTGAAGAAGAAAAACCGAACTGCATATGCTGCTATTTGTAATTTGAATTTGAGATGTTTCGGGCTTGGTTTGACATATTTGGTCCTCTGAAGACCTGGGCCCTGGTGACGCCAGCACAGGGACTCAGGGGCTTTATCCTTGTACCTGTAACAAATCTCAAGGCCAGTGACCAATGGCCTGGTCACTCATGGAAGCTTCCAGATACTTGTTTGTCGTTCTGTTAGTCTGGCCCCAGGCTAGCACAATCATCCTCACCTGGGGAGTGGCTAGAAATGAGAATTACCAGAGTCACCGATTCCCCCTGAATCCGGAACTTGGGGTGGGCGGGCTGGGCGGGCAGTGGCGGCTTCCAGGGCTTTCTGGTCTCCACTGAGTAATTCTAATCAAGGAGAAGCAGAGTCTGAATCCGCCTTTGTGTGTGGGGGCGTCATGCAGCTGGACTCTGCTTTTGTTCCCTTTTGAATATAATTGTGTTATTACGTGAAACATGCAGTTTCATAGTCAAAATTACAAAACCAGCTCTACCCAGAGGAGCCCAACTTTTCATCCGTTCACTTTGTTCTTTCTATAAAGTGACCATTTTTTAAAATTAGTTTTTGATTTATCTCTCTTTGAAAAGCCAGGCATAGATGCAGGCATATTTAAATCCTCTTCTCATAAAAAGGAGCGTCCCGTGCATAGCAGCACAGGCTGACTTTAAGAATGTTTAATTTTTTTCTTAGGGATGAAGAGAGCATGCTTTTCTGAAAAATCAAATGTCAAAGAAAAAAAAAAAACTTGGAGAGATGAAAGTCAGGGATCTCTGCTTTTTGTCATTCAGTACTTATTTACTGAGCTGCCACTTGGTGCTAGATGCTTAGTACCAGATGCCTAGTGCTAGTGCTAGGTGCTTGGGGGTAGCCCTAGGTGCTTAGTGTTAGGTGCTCGGTGCTCATGCTCATGCCAGCTGCTAATTGTAATTTGAATTTAAGATAGTTTGGGCGTGGTTTGACATATTTGGTCCTCTGAAAACCTGGGCCCTGGTGACGCCCGCACAGTGACTCACCTGCTAGTAATCTATCTCCTGGGAACCAAAGTTGCAGTTCTGACCCTCCTGCAGCTACAGACTTGGTGGGGCTGCGAAGATGGATAGAAAACTGGTCAACAGACCCCGCTATGGACCCCCCAGCAGGAAGCAGGTCCAGAGTGGAGACCTGTGGGGGACCTAAGGGCAGATTTGGGCACATTATCTCTTTGGGGGCTCCCCTGTGCCTTGCAGGGAGCTCTCTGGCTTTCCACCCAATGATACTCGCAGGAACATCCTCGCTCCTCCCTCAGTGGAAGTGTCTTCTGTAACTGTCCCCAGTGCCAGGACAGTTTAGGAAAATTGGGCACCATGCCCAAAAGACGAGGAGGCCGGGTGAGACCAGACTCATTCCTTACTCAGTGCTCAGTTACTGAAGTGGTTGAAAGAAGTCTGAAAAGTCATGACAGCTTTTGTGCATGCCAACTTTTATTCTATGCCCTACTACTAATTTACTTTCACAACACTAAATTAGAAAACGGCCCTGTCCCCCTGCTCGTGTTACCCGAACACTGAACATTTACTATGTATGGGGCTGCGCGAAGAAATTTTACAAGCTTTCTCTTAAAGGAGACCAATAATAATCTTCTCACTTTATAGACGAGGAACCTGAGGCCCAGAGAAATGAGGTAACTTGCCGTGGCTGATAAAGAGGTTGAGTGGGGTGTGTGCTGGAAACACATAGGTCAGAATTTTGCTGATACAGTAATGAGGATTTGATTGCATTTGAAATCAAACTGGTCTCAAGTCTTGCGCACAATGAGAACAATATTGTGCACAAGAGGGGTGTTCATTAACACCTCTAACATAAGCGAACACCTGGAATAATTGCCCGCACGGAACCAGCTGACCCACCAACCGCCCAGGAAATTTAAACACTGGAGCGTGTGAAATAAATGGTGCCACTAGGTGGCGCTGCGGCAAACAACTTTCAACTTGTTTCATCAACTTTGCATTTTTTAAAAAGATTTATTTATACAAGAACTGGGGTACAGGTCAGAAGCATGGGAGGGTGAGAGAATTCACCAGAGACAGAGTGGGGAGCAGAACAGGCAGACGGACAGAAAACACTGCTGAGGGGAGCAGCAGACAAGGCAGGAGAGGTCTGCCGCGCCATGTGGGTATCTCCCTGGCCGGCCGGGAATCGAACCTGTGCTGCAGAGGCTGCGGACAGCTTCACAGCGCAGCGCTCAACCACTGTGCCACCAGGGAGACCCCTGTTTCATCAACTTTGATGTTGGACTATTGGGGACACGTTTTCAAAGTCAGAACTTTTGTGCTATCTCAAAAACTGCAGGAAGTACCAGGCTCTTAGGATGGTTTTTATGAAAATATTTCACATTTTCGTAATTCAGCATCCCATGAGCTGGTCTTCATGTTCATTACTAGCTTAGTCCTTGGGCTTAGAAATTCTAAAACTGAAGTAAGATGACGCCATTTATGTTTTGGCAATTATTTCCAGGTTAATTTAGACAAAGGAAGAAAAAGAAAGGAAGGAGGCAGGGAGGGAAGAAAAGAAAGGAGAGAAGAAGGAGAGACACTGAAGTCGCCATTTCCAGTCTCCAGTTTGCCCTGCGATGCTGGTGTCTGGGAGAGCGAGGTCAGGGGCAGGACGTGGACACGAAGAACCAGGTTTAAACCACACGTTCTGGAAAGAGGGGTCAGGTCCTTAGTAGGAAGGATTTGCGCCTGGGAGGGAGCAGGAGAGCCATGTAGTCCTGGGGCGGGGGGAGGGGGCTCTCCTGTGGATGGAGCCCATGGTCTCCATCTTGTCTCTCTTCCCCATTCTCCCCTGCACTGGCCTCCTGCTTTCCCACCACCCCTTCCCTCGCGCCCCCCAACCCCCAGGTGATGCCACTGAGAACTCCCGAGGTGGACCCAGCTCCATGTGGCTCGTGGACCGAGAGGAAACCACCAGGGACACATGCTCCTGAGCTCAGCCCTCCTCCCCAATTGGGAATTAGGACAGGGGGATGTCAGCTCTCGCGAGACTCCTCCAGCAGCTGCTGCTTTTTTTTTTTTAAGATTTATTTATGCATACAAGAGCTGGGGTGCAGGCGGTGAGCGGACTCACTAGAGACAGAGTGGGGTACAGAATAGACGGATCTACTGAAATCACTGCTGAGGGGAGCAACGAGCGAGTCAGGAGAGGTCTGCTGTGCCCTGTGGGTAGCTCCCTGGCCGGGGATCGAACTTGTGCTGCACAGGCTGCGGACATCTTCATAGAGCTGAGACTTAACCTCTGCACCACCAAGAAGGCCCCTCCTCGAGCTTCTGATGGGACAGGTTTCATCCAGTCTCTCCTGGCTGTGCCACAGACGTCAGTGACTGATCTCAAGAGTTTTAAAAATACAGAAATGATGGTCTTAGGTGGCCAATAATACTGGTATTTCGGTTCTTTCAAATAGCATAAGCACATGCCTTCCAAGACAAGCATGCAGGGGAGAAGGGTGGGGGAGGGCCGGGTAGGAGAGGCAGGGAAGGAGAGGTAGGTCTTGCAGCGTCACCAGCAGCATTTCAATGCTTGCTCCCAGTGCATGAGGGGAGGCCTGGGGGCACTGAGGGCAGCTGGCCTGCCTGGCGCAGTCACAGCTGTACCCTCAGCCCCAGCACAGGTGGACCTGGTGGACACGGTCACTGGGGCTTCACACTCTCCCCTCAGAGACCCTGACTGCTCACACCACCACGTTGAACTTGACTCCCATTCCTGGAGACCTCACCTGTCGGTGTACCTGCCTCCCTGCCCCCCCCCCCCCCCCCGCCTGGAGGGCTTCCTGGAAGAGGTGCCACTTAATCTAAGACTTGCATAAGGGACGATTTGCACGTACCCTGGTGGGGGAGGCTGAGGCAGCCAGGCCTGGGGTTGGGGTTTGTGGGGGCAGTGGATGGGGAGGAACTTTCTCCCAGGGAGGGGCTGAGCTGGCTAGGAGGGCTGGGTAGCCGTCAGGGGGTTTGGGCATCCGCTCGTGGCCAGTAGCTGCAGGATGCACACGCCAGACCAGATCACGGTTTTATGACCCAGAAGCAGAAAAGCGATGCCAAAAATCAACGAAAAGATGTGAACTTCTGCTTGAATTCGTGTGATCTCGCCCTCATTATTATCAGTTAGATTTTGAAGCTGGGCAGGCAAGTGTGGCGGATTGGAAAATAGAATCCTCTAACGACTCTTTTTATTGCTTTTTTGCTGATCCTTAATATAAAACAAATAATCATAAATCACAAGCCAGCTGGACGGCTTCTTTCCTCTCTGAGACCGCCGGCCCCGAGACTCGGAGACATTTCCACGA